CTAACCCTCACCTCTAACCCTAACCTCTGGTGGATGATGATGATGATGATGACGATGATGATGATGATGCCGATGATGATGATGATGACGATGATGATGATGCTGATGATGATGCTGAGGATGATGACGATGACGATGATGATGGTGATGATCACGATGATGCTGGTGAGCATGATGATGATGATGATGGTGATGATGACGATGTTGATGATGATACTCATGCTGATAATGATGATGATGATGATATTCATGATGACGATGATGATGATCATAATGATGATGATGCTGATGATGATGATGACGATGATGATGATGAATGGTGATGATGATGATGACAATGATGATGATCATAATTCATATGATGATGATGATGATGATGATGTTCATGATGAATGATGAGGACGATGATGTTGATGATGATGATGATGATGCTGATGATGATGGTGATGGATGATGATGATGATGATGATGATGATGATGATGATGATGATGATGATGATGATGATGATGATGATGATGGTCATGATGATGATGGGGATGATGCCGATGATGATGATGATGATGGATGATGATGATGATGATGATGATGATGATGATGATGATGATGATGATGATGATGATGATGATGATGATGTTGATGCCGATGAATGATGATGCTGATGGTGATGATGCATGGCGAGGATGATGCTGATGAGGATGATGATGACACTGATGATGACACTGATGATGATGATGATGATGATGATGCTTTCGTTGCCTATCTTATCTGGACACTTGTTTTAATGTTGGGTGATCTTCATTCGAGTACTCTTTTCTTTGATCCAAGATTTCGAGGAGATCCAGTCCATCTTTTATTACACGTTAGAGTTACTTCTGTCTTCTTCTTTCTTCTCTTTTTGCGAATCTGGCCAATTAATAATAATAATCATCATCATAATGTTTACCTCGTACCTCGAATTCTTAAAACAACATTTAACACAACATCAACAATAAAAGCACATTGGGGGTCGGCGGCATCAGGCGTCAGCCTGCTTAATACACAAGCCCATGGACCAAACGCCAACTCTCCGGCGAATGCAGCGCTGAGCATCGTGACGTTCAGCGTGCCGCAGGAAGGACACGTCACAGGCATGCGCTTCAAGGCTGTCTGTTGCCTGCACAGCAAGTCAAGTAGCAGATAGTAGCAGTCCCAGCAAGGAGCCATGGATCCATCCTTTTGCAGACGTCGTACTGGCATATCAACGCAAAGTGGCCAAACATGGTACACCAATCTCACACAGACACAACTTGACCCCTACTGTGTCAAGCAGAAGTCGCATCAGAGAGGCATGACTTCTAAGCTCCAGTTTGGAGGTTGCGGGAACCCTGGGCATCTTGCCTCGCAATTCTCTCCAGCGCTGCATCTGCCTGTTGCTGCAGCGCGGTCGTGTCCTCAGCGTCGTGGTCTGCGCAGCATCCACCGGCTTTCCGTAACGCAGGCCTTAACCTAGTCAGACACTAAAAATGATGAAGCCGCGGCAAAAGCGATGCGGCAAAAATTCGATCGAATCAACGGCAGGGTAAACACAGACCTGGAACGTGCATTCTGCTGCACAAGCGCATCTAGCTGCATGTTCGCACATGCGCAAAGCATGTTTAACAGTTGCATCAACATCGCACACTTGTTCATACCAATGTGATGGATATACAAAGAAATGTGTAAACATATATATATATATATGTGTGTGTGTGCCTTGTATGTGAGATGGAGAGAGGGGAAAACTAGCAGAGTGAGGCACAATCACACGTACAACAGCATGCCCAAGGCAACCCCTGACTAGTGCCCTTGCCACTCCCTTGTTTGCGCCGGCAGCCGGGCCCCCGGACGACCATGGCCTGCTCCAACTGCGCCAGCTGAGCACAGCCGATGTTGCTCTTACCCCTGGCCTGGCATGCGGCGCAAAGGGGGGGCGCCTTGCCCAAGACGAGCCTGTCCGCAGCTGCCGGTGTGTTTGAAGTCCCAACCATCCCAACCGTCCCAACCTATATAGCCTTCGGACATTGACTGGCCGCCAAATGATTCAAAACCGCTGCGGCGTTCGCAAACAGAAGCCGATGTTCCATCCATCCCCCTTGACTTGACAAACCATTTGTGTGAAAGCCAAGAATACCTTTAAAAAAAAAAGGACAGGTTGTTGGCCCAACTGGCTTGGAATGCAGTAGGCCCGGGTCACCTCCAAACTGGCCAGAAATGAAGTGCGACACACAGCAGGCAACGAATGAAGTCTCGTAGTGGTGCTGCTTCCACTTTTGATATCCAGCGCGGCACGTGGCAAAAACACAAAGGCAAAAACGCGGGGAATTGCAAAAGGCAACAGGAGTCGACGCATTCCCTTCCAGCACCTCCATGGGAAGTTCCAAGTCGCGCCGTTGAGATCTGGCGCGACAGATCCGATGGCGACCATCTGCTCGGTAGCTGTTGTTCGAGTGGCCCAATCACTTTAACAAAAGCTTCCTGTTGAACCAGGGCCGAGATCTGTCACCACTTCCTAGGCATGTGTCAATACAACAAGGTGTCCCTTCTGATTCCCTTTAAACGTTTTACCAACCAAAAAAGGGTACCCTCAGTGAATTGGGAATGCAACTGGCATTCATGAAAGAAGCGCTGATAGTCCTAAAACAAAAGCGGAAGTCTCCAGCACCCACTTCAGGAACATGTCAAATGTCGAAATGTTCCTCTGAAGGTAGCATTCAAAAGCTGTTCTGCTCCATTCCATGAAAGCCGCCCCAGGTCATCCTAAGCACGGCTTTCATGGCATCAAGGAACTAGCATTGTCCATGCTGAAACCACCTCGGTGTGCGCACAGGAGCTCCTTTGCTGTGACCCTCTCAAAAATGAGCGAGTCAGGCCCAGCCGTTCCTAAGTTGCTGAAGCAGTCCTGAGCCAACCTGCCTCAAAAATTCTCAACTCTTGCACTGCATCCTGTTTCGCCCTGATCTACCAGCAATGGCAGCCACTTTCTCAGCAGCGCCATGCCTGCGCTGGGGCGCCTTTAGCTCCCTTCCTGGCCAGCAAGGAAACCAAGCGTGCCGTAGACTCCCGAGGCTGCCTCACCGCGCTCAGTGGAAGGTCGCCATCTCCACTGGCAAATGCCCCACATCCCCGAAGCGATGGAGGCTGACGCGCCTGAAGCCCGCTGGAGAGGAAGAGGTGGGACCGTGAAAAAAACATCCTGTTCTGTGTGTGTGTGTATGCGCACATCTATTGAGAATGTGATTCAGGCTTCTTCCAGAGCTGGCTGAGCCGTGCACAAAAAAGACATGCCACACTTCAAACAGGGCCAAACTCATCCCGCAAAAAAAAAAGGGAGACAACTGCGGTGATGGAGGCCAGTATGCATCAAGCACCGAAAAATATCCCGGGAAAAGCGTGGCGAAAATTATGGTGCCACCTCAAGCTGCGAACTGGAGCCAAGGCGCCCGTCTGGATGCACCACGATCCTTGGCTCGAGGGCACGCCCTTGGCCAGAGCCCGTCCCTTGTTTCATGATGCTTCATGCAGATGGCGCAAAAGGTTTGCTCGCCTTTTGATGGAGCTTCACCTAAACCTTACATCGGCAAGCCCAAGAGGCCCTACCTCAAGCTACCCTTCGCTTGCCGGCCTTTCTGGGCTTGTGTTGGAGGCGAACATTGGGGACCTTGGGGCAAAACATATGTAGCAAATGCAGAGGGAGGGCAGCATCACCAAACAGCAAGCTGCTGAGAGGACAACAATGTAGGAGGAACAAAACAACAGATGTTCAACCTTTGTGTAAGAGGGGGCGACGCACGCCTGAACCCACGCTTTCAAGTCTTCCGTGCTCGCAATGTATCAAGTGATCCTTCGAGTTGGGTCCAGGGGTGCCAGGATGCCAACAGACTGGGCTGAAAAAACATCACATGCCAAAAGACACAGGGCCAAAGACATTCGACATCTTGTGCACGATGTGCAGGAGCAACATCCAAGTGCTGCTGCAAATGGCTAGGACTTGTTACAAGCCAGAATGCCTTGGCGGACCAGCCCGATGAATCTTTCTCTACTGCATTCCTATGCCGAAACCATTCCAAAATGTCCATTCCAAAGTTGTGCCTTGCTTGTTCTCCATTGTCCCAGGGAGGAAAACCCATAGCAACAATCATGACCAGCACCCAGCCTTCCCCATACGCACCGTCAACAGGAACTTGGAAGGAGCCACACATCATCGCCCCGTCGCCCACCCCTCCAGCCCTCGGCTGGGCGAGGAGCTCCGTGATGTTTGTGTTGTCCCCGCGCAGCCGGAGCCAGGCCTCCGGAGGCAGCTGCAGGGCCCGCATCACCTCGGCTCGGCCGCGCGGCCGGGCCGGCTCTCTGGCGGTCTGGCGGTCTGGCGGTCTGGCGGTCTGGCGGTCTGGCGGTCTGGCGGGCGGCTTCCCCTGCGAAGAAAACCTGAAAACGCCAAGCCACACCTGGATGTGATCACCTAGTGCTGAGCTGCTTCGGGCATGGCCGAAGCAAGCCAAGCCAAACCAACAGCAGTCAAAACCAATGCAAGCATGTGGGGCATGTTAACTAGAGGGAGCTGGACATTGAATGATGATGCAAGAAAGGCGTTTGCTGGCATGGCTTGGCCCTAACCAAATCATGTGACCAAGGCAAGAACACAAGTTCCTCCTGTCTGGCTTACACGCTGCAGAATTCTTGACGATACTGGGTGAGATTCTGCCCTTTGTTTGGTAAATTGGCAAACCTGCTGAAACACTGGTAACCAAAACTAAATCCCTACACTCGCTGACACTGTGTGCAACCAACCCCAAAGAATGCTCCTCGCCTGCTTGCACGGCTCTCAATTGCACCGGGTGGCCATGTATCGTATCATGTTCATGTGGCAAACCTCGGCCGGCGGCTGCTCCCGAAAACGCTCAGGCCCAAATGCAAACCGAGCCATAGGTGACGACAACTGCTGAGCGCAGACTCTTGCAAACGAATCACGAATCGCGTTACAGCGCCGCCCTCATTCTGGCAACGGACGGACTCAAGTCCATGCTCAGGCGATCAACGATGAAGCTGGCGGGGCCTTCACTCACGTGAGCAACGCCTGGAACGGTTTGTCTTAGCTTTTACCACCCGGACCCCAGGCCATGAGGCGTAGATCTCGAAGACATGCTCCGGCTCTTTGGGCTCTGGCTCCGGCTCCTCCTCCTTCTCCGGCGGCACGTAGCCTCCGCTGGGGCGCGTGGCTCCAGGGTTGGGGGCCCTCTTGTTGCATCATGCAGTCGTCTCTGAAATGAGTCACGACTGGGGGGATCCCTGGGAAACACAAGTTGGGCTCCGAAGTCTAAGGATGCACCCGCGGCACCCGGGTGAGCCCCGACAGCACCGGCCAAGATTCATGCCTGGAACCCCAAACCCGCCCCATAGCTGTGGCTGTTGGGGTAATGTCTGCCCCATAAATTAATAAACCAAGGCATTGCCAGAGAGTATCAGAAGCGTGGGGCATGCAATAGAGCAATTGACAAACCAGCGAGGCATGCTTGCCGGCTATCCACTCATTGGGCCAAGGCTCCATCTCCCAACTCTTGTTTTTTCTTCTTCTCCTTTTTGGCCTTTTTCTCTGCCAACTTCTTGTGATCCACATCGCGGTGCACATACCTCAAAGCAGGCATGCACACATAAAGGAAAGACACCGAACAACTAGCCTTGGTCAGCTCGCATCTTGACGTTTCAATCGCTCGGGTCAAAAGCTGGGCACAACGGGCATGCCTGTGCCACATACTGCTTGGTCTTCAAGTATGCCCCTAGCGCAAGCTGCTTCCCTTCAAGTTCACAGGAAACCTCTTTTCAGGAGACCCAAAAGGGGTTTTCTGTGGCTCGTTGGGTTCCATGACGCTGCAAATCCGGCGATGCTCCCCAAGGCCTCAAGGACTGCGCCAAGGCTCTTCCGGAAGGCTGCCTCCATGCGAACGGAGTCCTCCCAAAGGTCCGCGCCCACGAAGCCCTGACCGGATGAGCAGAAACCAAGATCCAACGACCATACCCGTGGCAGGAATACATCTCACTGACACCAGGAAGCCACAAGGACCCCATGGCTTCAGGTTCTACAAGCCGAAAATGGCATTGTCTCAAAGCCCGTTTGTGGCTTTTTTGGGGCTGCTGTTTTCTGGCTGCACGCAAGGAAGCTACGCGTTGCCTGCCCAAGCTTCTTGCGTGGCAACTGGACAGCTTCCAGCCTTGGCTGAGGAGGTCGGGTGTGGCACCGTAGGTTTGCCCTCCGCCAGCAATGGCTCAGGCTCCTTTAGCGGCACATCTGGCAGGAACGAGCTGAGGATTTGTGCCTTGGCAACATCAAATCACATGCCTCACTTGTTACCCAAAAAACATCCTGAAGAGTCCACCTGCCACGCTTTGGAGGAATTGGTTCCGCATCGAAGAAGAAAAGGCAAGCATTCTACCTCAGACTTTTCTAGCTAGCAGCTAGCGCTTGTCCGTAGCATTCTCAACTAGGCTGCAAAATCATGAGTGTCCGATTGTAGCTCAAGCAGGTCCATTAAAAAAATGTACAACGCGCGGTTTGGCGCAGCCTTTCCTGCAGCTAGGGACTGGACCAATCGCCAAACACCAAGAGCCATCCAAGCTCGGGGCGAGCAGTCGCTACATGCGTCTTGGAAGCAGGCATGTGTGAAAAGCCTTGAAGCACGACCCGTCATATGTAATGTGATTCCATGACGGGAAAGCCAAGACCCCTCAACGAAAAACACTTGAGACTGAACCCTTTGCACAGCTCGCATCTAGCCGAGGGGCTGTCTCTAGGGCGCGAGGCACGTTGCTGACCCAAATGCCAGTGTAATTGATCTTCACCTCTCCGTAGCGATCCTGTCTGAAAGGCCAGTGACGTTCGCCCAATCGTTCTGAGCAGCCCCTCATAAGAAACAGTTCCTCCCCCCCAACCATGGTTAGTCCAACCACCTGTTTAAACACACTGTCGCTTCAACATCCTCATTTAATTTTATCTTTGAATAACTCCATGCCCCGGTGAATGCAACCCTGCACCCACCCCACCTACCCATACCCACCCAACCCATCCCCCCCCTTGCCAAGGGGTGATCCCTGGGCCCCCCGAACTCTCAGGCGCCTTCTTCAGTCCCTGGCGCTCCGCCACCAGCCGCTGCGCCAACTTCTCCGACTGCCTGCGCCCCAGCTCCGTGAGGCGGTGCTCCTCGCCCTCCTCGCGAGAGCGAGCCGAGCCAAGGACGGCGAAGCCCACGTTGGAAGCACAAAAAATCCCGACGAGTTGCTGGGAATCTCCTGTTGGGGGTGCCCCCTTTTGGGGTTCCTTGTTGATTTGGTTGGGGTTCCATGTGGAGTTTGTAAGCGAGCAGGGCTCGTCACAAAGAAAGGCCGTGGGATGTCCGTCTTCTGGAACATGAAGGTCAACTGCCAAGAATCTTGCCTACCAGGTCTGCAAATTGGGCCCAGCAGGCTGCAAGCCCCCTGCACACTTACACAGACACATCACACATCACCCCCCTGCAAGCTTCATGAAATCGGTTGCAAGTTGCCGCGCACGTGTGCAGCCCACTTTGCCTTGCCGCATGTCCGCTAATTTTGCCCAGGTCAGTCCAGATCATATTGCCCATGCCGGATGAAGAGCAGATGCCGGATCTTGCCCACCTTGGACTTCTCCCCAGTTGGCGGCGAACGGAAGTCCCAATCGGGGTTCCACTGGCGCTTCCACATGAAGCAAGCATCAGAGCAGTTGGATGGGTCTTGCCACCACTCCTCGCCTTGCGCCGCAGAGCTGACAACTACCGAGCCAGCTCTCTGTCGCTTTAGCATGCCCCCCTCTCTCCTGCAAGCCTTCCAAGCTCATTCCTTTCAAGCTCATTCGGACAGTCAGCGGAGCTGGTTTTCTTTCTGTAGCTCTCCTCCTGCAGGGACACGGACCCTCCATTGCCGCACTAAGTCCAAGCAAATGCTTGATGGGCGAAAGAGTCTTCCAGACTAGGCCAAAGAGAAAACACTGGCCTTACAGCCTAAAATTGCCTCACTGCAGAACCTGAGTCGGGAAATCCTTTTGGAACTCTCAATCTGGCTTCCCTTGTGAGCTGGACATGCAAAGACCAAAAAGACAAGTCCCCCAAAAGATCGGGCAGGCTGAGAAAAGAGGAACACGCACAAACCAAGACACATCTCAGAAACCACACGCCAAGGGAGCGAGGACCAACGCCCACTGCGCCACAGGGACCAACCTACGCCCAGCGGCATTCCGCGCGCCGCCGCTCCAGCGCGGCCGCCCCCACCGTGGCCCCCAGCAGACCGGCACGCCAGGGCCACGAGGAGCCGCTGAGGCGCGCCAGCCGCAACATGGCGGCGGGGACAAACTGAGCTAGCTGGACCACTGCACCAGGCCTAGGAAATTCGATGTTTGCAGTAAATGCCATGGCGTGCTTATAAAGTGAGTGACGTCTCACTTGGCAGCTGGGCTGTTTGGGTGAAACTGGGTGACGGTCGTATGGTTGCAATGCATTTTGCCAACACAGCTACACCAATGTTGAGCAGCTGACGCGGCAAACTGCTTTACACTTCATGCTCAGCTCGCTGGACACATGTCTTTGGGCCAAAGGCTGCTCACAGCGGCAACCTCGGGCTGTCCAGGCACTCGGAAAGCACCAGCCTTGCCATGCAACCCTACAGTTGCGTAGTTGGAGTGGGGGCGTTCCTCTCAAGTTGAACTCAACGCACTCATTCCACTAACATGGAGCCCTGAAATCGGAAATTCGAGTTCCAGGGACCTTTCGTCAGTCCACTAACAGAAAGGACACTAGGAGGCCCTGAAATCGGCAATTCGCGTTCCAGGGACCTTTCGTCAGAGACACATTTGTGGAGGTGTTGGCCAAGAGAGCCGATCAATACTTGTGACACCTTGAAGTGGTTTGCTCAACATGCCTCCAGTAAAAACCATTCGGAGCTCGGAATGTGCCTATATACCCTTTCTCCCAGCATAGCATTTGTGGAGGGTGCCTGGAAAATCAATCTCCTCTTTAAGGGACCCTGTGGTGCCATGGAAAGGAGCAGTTGCATCTCCCAAGGCCTGGAGTCCTCGTCATAGCGGCTTCCACCCGCCGCTGCGTCTGCCTCCTGGCAAAAAGAGGCAAGGCAAGCACGGCACGCTCCAGTGATCCAAAACCGGCCGAACAAACACAGAAACGACACTGGCTTCTGCAGATCAAACAGTTTCCGCATGAAAGTAATGTTAAGCAGATTGCCTGCGATGATCATTAATCGGCTTCTTTGCTGGATCAAAGTCTCGGTATTCCGTCTGCTTCCTTATGCAATTGTCATGCGCATGGCTCCATCTGCTCCGTCTCGTGCTGCGTGTCGCGAGTGCCCGTCCTCAAGTTTGCCGCAGACATGAAAAAAGCAACGTCCTTGTTTGTGATGCTTGTTTGTTCTGTGCCATCTCAGAAGAATGTATCTTTTGCAGGCGAGTCATTTCTTTCAATCCCTGCCCGTGTGCGGGCGCGCTAAGGGAAACCAATGGCAAAACTACCATTTGGGAGGTCCCTAGTTTGACAACCGCCCATGTGGGTTTCGCACGCTGGGGCCCCCCGCGACGCCCGCTCCAAAGCATCAAGGCTCTGGGTGTTGAGGGCCTCCAAAGGCTGGAGCTATGAACAGGACCCAGGGCCCAGGGCCCATTGCCTCAAGATCCGCATGGAAAAATCCAAGCGCAAGATCCGCAAGATTGCGCCTCCATGGCGGGAGCCGCATGGCCAGCTCGATCGAACTTCGAAGCTGGCGCTGCTTGACACAAGGCGCAGCAGGCAACAGGCTGGCGACCAACTGGGATGCGTGCCGAAAGAAATACACGGCTTGCCTGAAGGGACTAATAAGGTGCGAAATGTGGCAATGATGGCACGAAGCCTAAGTTCGGTTCAAACACAGGGCCGCACATGTAAGCAATTTTGGCAGTTCCAACGTAATTTTGTTTGACCGCAGCTTGATCGTGTTTGAATGAGGTTGTCTATGACCGCTATACAAACGCACTCTGAGCCACGAAACTGCGAGAAGCGACCCTTCATTCTCAGCTTGCGGTTTGCGCACAGCTGCAGCATGACTGCCGTGAAGATGCAGTATCTGCCATTTCCTCCCCCATTGCCGCTATGCTCACCCTGCAGCAGACTGCGAGCACGCACAGAGGCATTGCGTACAGTTGGCACGGCATGCCTTCGCGCTAGCTTGAATACACGGCAATGCCTCTTCTGCTCATGCCCCTGTACAATCAGCACCCCACCCCTGTCTGCTTACTGACCCGAGTGACAAACCCTGCAAGCCATGCCCGGGGTCAGAAGCACTGGCTTTCTGCGGCCGGCCCTGCGCTCTGCCAATATGACTTTCGTCCAAGCACTCTCCAAGGCAACACTAATCCATCCCCGGTGAGCGGCTCGCCCGGCCCAGCACTATGAAGGTGTTTTCCAAGCAAGAATGCATGGCTCTACGCTGTCTCAACGAAGAATCCTCTGTTTTCTCTGCTTGCCTTCAGCCACTGCTCCGCCACGCTGGCAAGCATTGCTGAAACAACCAATGCCACTTGTGCGACCCTGCGCATCATCACACTCCAACATGCCCAATTCACACACTTCCGCTTGCAGCGCTTGCAGCACTCAGCCAGCATCATTCAAACCTTGGCCGCGCAAAACCGGAAGGAGCACAGCGCGGTGCCACCAGATGCCTGCCATAGGGTTTTTTCAGGGACAGCCCTGCCCAACATGACAAAGGGCTTGGGCCGGGAGCCTCGGAGCTGCAAGTTGAAATCACGGCTGTCACTTGCGTTGGAGAAGCAACTGGAATGAGGCCGAGGCAAGCCGAAAGTTTGCCAAAACTGCCATGGCTGGCCAAACCTGACTTTGACATCCGGCAAAATATGGAGAAAAAAAAACTACTCAAAATTTTGCTGCACCAACGGCCGGTTTTCAGCCTGCAAGCTTCCCCCTCGTTTCCCGGGCCCACTGGGGCTGCCACATCTCCAGGGCCGTGGGAGCCATCCTCCAGCCACTCGCCTACACGAAATCCGAGAAATCCGGAGTGAGCCCGACGCGGAAAATCAAGTACATGGTGAAAGTAGGCACACATCCCCCGCATTTTGGCTGCGGGTCAAAAATAGGTACCCTCCCAGCAATTGACGTGGAACCCCTGTCAGGTATGTTGATTGGTGGGAGGGTGACAAATGGTTGGCCTGGTTAAGTGAAAACATGGACTCAAAGCCTGCGGTCTCCTGGTGGTTTCTTTCTGGCCCATGCCCATTGGATTTTTGCCATACCCGCATAAAAGGCGAAAATCGTCAGGCGTAGCTTGCCCAACTCCTGAGGAGTCAGAGCTGAAACTTCGAATCTGGGGCAACAACTGGCCGGGTCCTCACAACATGCGGAACCACTGATCCCTTCCCCCTTAATAAATGGACCCTATTAACAAAGAGAGTGTTTATTCGGGGGGGTCCGCGTTTATTATTAAAGCCACACTCAGCATAGAGCCCTCTCGCAGAGCACGTCAGTCAGTGCGGGCAACGAGGTGAGTAGTTAACGGGTTGACTTCCTTTGCACTCCTCCCACTGCCCCTGAACCCCTAACGCCACATTCCACATAACCGCTGAACCCTGGCCCTAGCCGAGAGGTACCCAGAGGGGCATTCCTTGTAGTGATATCCGGATGGCAGTGTAAAAGGGAAAACCACCAAAGGTAAGTTGAAAGCCCCTGGCAAAGCCCACTTTCAGGGAGCCAGATCTAATGAATTGTCCGGATTCCTCAGAGTGAACAAAGGGCATACGATCCATACCGAAAGCCCTTAGCATGCCCCACGCCTCCGCCGGAACGGCCGGCGCAGCCGGCACGGCCGGCGCAGCCGGCTCGGAATCGCCCTGCATTTCCTTCATGAACCTGCGCAGAAAAGAAGGACACCAAACCAATCCGCAAACGGCAGATTCAGCTCGAACAAAAGGATGGGCAGAACAACATTGAATGACTGGTTTCACATACTAGGCGCCACAAACCCCCTCCAAGCCTCCACATATGTCCCCTTCAGGCCAAGTTAAACGTCACCTTGTGGCTTCCACAATTGAACGCGAGCCTCCTTTTGGCGTGATGCTTCAATGGAAAGTATGTGGGGGCCCGCCTTGTGCGGTAGTGCGCTGCCCAGGCTGCTCCTCGGGCTGGGCATGGCTGACGGACTTGCAGCGATTCCAAGAAGAACTTTATGGGGGCCAAATTACGAGGAACCCACCCCTCTGCGAATGGGTCCCCTATGCCTGTGGAAAGAACCATGGTCAAAAGTCCCTTGCCGCTCACAGCGGCAGACCAATGGACCAAAAACCTCAGCTGCTCCAGCATGCGGCTGAAGGTCGGCTTGTATCTCCACGACCCCTCCCATGCCCAAACAAGCTCAACTCCATGGTTCAAGGGGTTACTTGGAGCTTTCCCCCTACTCTTTCCGCCAAAAGATGCAGCCTCTGAGGTCCCACACGCCTGCTGAGCTGCGCCTGCCTGGCCGTCACTTGGCCAAGCCTTTTGTTGCGCAGGGTTCACCCTGAACATCACTCCCAAGGCGCAGCCAAGCAACCAAACAAACCATCAAACAGACAAGGGATTAAGGCGCCCTGCTTGCACCATGAGCGACGTGCTTTACAACACAGCACGTGCCAAAAACAGGCGAACAGGCATCGAAGCCGTTCAGCCGGCAAAACTTGCTGGCAGCATAAATGAACATGTGACTCCTTTGTGGCCCCCTTGCTCTTGTTGGCCAAACAGCAGTGGTGAGGAGAACTCGCTGGACTGTAAACAGCACTTTGGCCGATGCTCACAGCCTGCCTCTCTTCTTCCGGCAACTTGGCCGCCTGCAACATGGCAGCGCAGGTGAGCTAGGCGTCTCAATGCGGCTGAAGCTGCGACAAGTCAAGCGTCAACCAGGGTACTTTGGAGAGGCTTGCCGAATCCTGTGCCCGTCAAGGGCCCCTAAGTGATAGTACAGCGAACACCCCCGGTTTGGGTCTATAATAACACCAAACAACCGTCAGAATGAAAATTTGGGGGAAAAGCCTTCTGCGAGGATCAGCTACTTCCCTGCACTAAATGCACCCAACACCCTAAACCCTAAGCCATGATTGCGCCAGTACAGGACTAGCAAGCCAAAAGGGCTTGACCCATGTCATGTGTTTCATGCTGGAGAAAACGCGCCCACATAGATGCAAGTGCCAACCCTCGCGAAGACTATTGTCCTCAAGGGACCTTCTGGCTGGCTAATACTTCATTCAGCCGCTTGAATTCAGCCGCCCCACTTTTCAAAGAGCCTCATCCGACAAGCAACAGTTGTCTGCCAGCCTTGCGCTTTTTGGGCGCTTGGATTCCAGCCAAAATGCAAAGCGGCAAAGAAACGAAGAGGCTTGATTCATACTCCATGAGTGTTTTCAGAGGGGAACTCATCTTTCATGCAAGTCTGGGATGGGGCAAACAACGTATCGGGCGCTGGCCTCAACCTGTGCTGGCGCTGCAGGCCTCGCAAATTCGCAAGGAGCACGTCCCTGCGAGAAAACGCACACCCTCAACGTCAGTGCGATACTGAAGTTAAGGGATCACAGGCTCGCAAGGTTTGCCCGAAAAACTTCCCAAAACCACCCGCGAATACAGGTACCTCCCTGCACAAGGTGTTCAAGCTTACAAAGGGGGCACCCCTTCATCAGGCCCCCTTTCACGAACAGCCCCCCCCCGGATAAATCAGGGCCCGTTGCTCAAAACAAACATCGGCTTGCCTGTCAAATTTAAAGTCCTATGGCCGAAGGGGCCAAGAAGGCAAGAACCGTAGTGGTTCTGCAAGTTCCTGTTTCCAGTTCGATTGGCTGGGAAGCGGCCGGGGGTATAAGAACGAGGACCGCAGGAGCTCCGAATGAATCCGTCGCCCTCCAAAAATAAATATCTCAGTATTGGGCGCAAGTCCAAACCTTGTTGATCTTGGCCCCCTTTACTAATCAAGGGTAACCACTACCTTCTGAAGCCAAGGCTCAAACGAGTCCATTAGCTTTTTGGCAGTGAGAACTGGGCGTGCCTTCCTTATCCCATGTCTGGACTCGCATGCCGGCGACGGGTCCCGGCCGTGCGGGCGAGCGACGGGCCACACAAGCCATGCTCATGGCAGAATACCTTGCCAATAGGTCTACATAACACAACCGCCTGAGCAATCCATGGATCCATGTGCCAAGATGTTGCACCTAAATCCTGGAAATGATGCGCCCTACCTGATGAAACCTGCCAAAGTTCCCGACAAGGGGACGACTGAGCCTCTGTCAAACTCATTGGCAGGAGAGGTCCGTGCGGATTTAAAACTCCAAATATGACGTTCTGAGTCCCAACCCGGGCTTTGGAAGCAACGTTCGAGTGCGAGGCACGGCTCTTGTTTGAAAGGTGAAGCATTCCGATAGACTTGGGTGTTGCGATTGATCTGTTGCCACCCTTGCCTCACCCAAGCTACAATTGTTGAGGGCAGGAAGAGCAATCGGCGCAGCTAAGAATATTGGCCCTATCCATCATCTCCAGCCTCTGCGTCCTCAAGGCAGCATCCTGGAGGCTCTTCAAGCAACAATGTTAGGCGGGGTGCTCCCAGTACACTTGGAGGGTGATCAGCCGAATGACTGATCTCAACTGATTCGCACTGCATCCTGTGGCAAGATGGCGACCCAAAGCCGGGTGGAGCACCCGGCGTAAGTCAAAATGTGTGGTACCAACCTTGGGCGAATCAAAAGACGCTCGCCATCTGTTTAAACAAACTGAGATGAGGAGCACAGCATCTTTTTGCAGCTGTCCTTGCTCAACAGAAGTTCAACATCTGCCCTCGAATTTATGCCCCTTCCACTCGATGCGCCCGACACCTAAACGCGCTCATGATTGAGCCCTTTTGTCCGCTGCGCGGTTCAAAAGAAGTACTTGTTCATTCCTATTGGCCGCCTCTGATCTATGCGCCCTCCGCTTCGGTGTCGCCGAGTCTTGCGAATGGCTCACGCTCTTGCCCGCTTGCTCAAAGCACAAATGGTCTTGGGCTGGGCGGCCCTGGGTTCACGTCCCAAACTTGAAGCAACAGTTGGCTTTTGAATGCCGGCCAGGCACTAGCATGTCATGCCTAAAAATCGCGGAGGTCAAACTGACCCATCCACTGCAACCGCCCCCCCAAAATCACAAGCAAATGTATATATGACAGCTTCATCCCTTGCCAGGAAAGTCCGTCAGGGCCGGGGGCGGAAGCTTCAAAACATGTAAGAACTATAGCTTGCGGCACGCTTGTTTTCCCCTTTGCTTTGTCTCTCTCTCTCTCTCTCTCTATCTCTCTCTCCTCTCTCTCTCTCCCTCTCTTTCTTCCCCGCGTTCTCTTTCTTCCGGTTCTCATGGTCTTTCTTGTTATCTTTCTCAGTTCTGTGGCTCTTGATTTGTTTATGTTATCTTTATCCTTCTATTTCGCTTCTGCTTTCGCATTGTCCTTCTCTTTCTCCTCTCCTCTTACATTATACTTGTCTGTTTGCTCTCTGGTTGTCTTTCTGTTCTTCTTTATTCTTATCCCTATCCGTATCTTTCTCTTTCTCTGCTTATTCTTTCTCTCTCTCTCTCTCTCTCTCTCTCGCTCTTTCTCTCTTTCTCTCTTCTCTCTTTCTCTCTCTCTCTCTCTCTCTCTCGCTCTTTCTCTCTTTCTCTCTTTCTCGCTTTCTCTCTTTCTCTCTCTTTCTCTCTTTCTCTCTTTCTCTCTTTCTCTCTCTCTCTCTCTCTCTCTTTCTCTCTTTCTCTCTTTCACTCTGAGGGGGTGTGCGACGTCGTTGGCCTGCCTCTGTTCCCCAGTTCTCGTGTTTTCCAGCCTTTTCGCTGCTTTTTCACGCGCAATCCATCTATAGTATCGGGCTAGCAGTGAGAATATATATTTTTAGAGTAAATGAAAATGCACATTTCAAAAGTCTATCTCAAAATGAGTTAGAATAAATAGGAAAAAGTCAGTTAGAATAAACAAAAAATTGAAGATAGAATATTTCAACCAAAAAGAAGGCAACAGATATAATATTTCAAAATAAGAAAACAACAGATAGAATAATTCAAAATAGGGGTTTCTGCTATGAACAACTACTCTGCGATAAATGTCCTAGCTGCTAGCCTGTTGCTAGATCTTTCTATGTACGGCTTTCAGCAAACCATGTGGCTGTGGGTCCCATGATTTTCCATTTGGGTCCGTCTCTCTTTCAAGGGTATATGCAAAACCAAACGGAAACCAACCGTTTTGAGGGGTCCCCCTAAGAAAGACACACGCATTTATTAGAGGAATGCATGGCTTCTCCTTTTTTCGGAGCTCAAATGCTCAGCCCGACGGGCCATGCCCCTCTCCCACAAACAGGTAGAATATTTCATATACAGCAAATTCTCCAGAGACTCAAACGGCACCGAGCCCAAAATATTCACGAACACCTTTTGGGGGGGGGGGCACATAGAATATTTGCTTTTGCACACCTTCATCAGGTGATTCATCGTATGCATAAATTACTAAATATAGAGATAGTAAATATTGGATTGCTTAATTTTTTGAGGGTACCCCAGTATATTCCAACAAGGGGTGGCCTTCCTTTCCCTTTAACCCAACCACAAACGGCACCGAGCCTAAAATATGCATGAACACCATGGGGACGCACAGTTAGAATACTTGTTTTTGGCAAAACTTCATCAGGTGATGAATCGTAGGCATAATGAAAGATATAGAGATAGTAAATATTGTTTTGCTTATTCTTTGATGGTCCAATAGCGTGGCCGTCCTTTCCCTTTAGCCCAACCCCAAACGGTACCGAGCCCAAAATACAAATGAACACCATGGTACTTGTTTTTGGCAAAACTTCATCAGGTGATGAATCGTAGGCACAATGAAAGATATAGAGATAGTAAATATTGATTTGGTTATTCTTTGAGGGTCCAAAAGCGTGGCCTTCCTTTCCCTTTAGCCCAACCCCAAACAATACCGAGCCGAAGCTATACATAAACACCATGGGGAGGCACAGATAGAATATGTGTTTTTGGGCCGGAAAACCTTCATCAGGCCACACTTTAATATATATATATATAACAGAGAGAGATAGCAAGCATTGGATGGCTTATTTTTTAAGGGCACTTCAGTACACTCCAACAATGGGTGGCCTTCCTTTCCCTTTGACCCAACCCCAAACGGTACCGAGCCTAAAATATGCATGAACACCATGGGGTGGCACAGTTAGAATATGTGTTTTCGGCAAAACTTCACCAGGTGATGAATCGTAGGCATAATGAAAGATATAGAGATAGTAAATATTGTTTCGTTTATTCTTTGAGGGTCCAAAAGCGTGGCCTTCCTGTCCCTTTGGCCCAACCCCAAACGGTACCGAGCCGAAGCTATACATTGTGCACCATCGGGGGGCACAGTTAGAATAGTTGTTTTTGGGCCGGGAACCTGCATTAGGCAATTAATCTTATGCACACATAAACATATATATCTATATAATATACATAGTAGATATGGATTTGCGTTGTTTGAGGGTACCCCACTATTCTCCAAAAAGGGGTGGCCTTCCTTTCCCTTTAACCCAACCCCAAACGGTACCGAGCCCAAAATACAAATGACCACCATGGGGTGGCACAGCTAGAATAGGTGTGTTTGGGCCAGGAAACCTTCATCATGCATTCAATCGTATGCAAATATATAAACATATACATATTATATATAGAGAAAGTAAATATGTGTTTGCTTAGTTTTTGAGGGTACTCCACTATGTCCCAACACGGGGTGGCATTCCTTTCCTTTTAACCCAACCCCAAACAGTACCGAGACCACATATGAATAAATGAGACAGTTCGAGTAATCCCAAATCTTGACATGCCTGTGCAAATCCTTGGAAGTGGAACAGACAAATAGAATAATCTGTGTCAGATACAAAGGCTGCGAGGTCTGGAAAATGACCTTTGAAAGGAGGTATTGGCAATACTAAGTTTAGTCCTGACAGTCCAAAGCAAGTCGAGAAGTGTGTTATCAGAACAGGTTTATTTTGAAAATCTACGGCCCTTGCTGAATTATTCTATCTGAAAAAAATACTAAATTTACTATTGGCAATACTAAAGTTAGTACTGGCAATACTAAATTGACTATTGCGGCAAAGCTACCCCCTCTTCTCGTAGCCAAAAAACCTTCCAGGATACGTTTTTAAATAAAGAATTTTACAGTTCAAATCCTTGCTAAACTTTACTAGGCTTAGCATTGGCAATCCAAAGTCTACATTGGCAATGCTAAATCAATAGCAAGAATGTCCTGCCAATACTAAATTTACCATTGGCAATGCTAAAATTAGTACTGACAATATACATGAGTACTATTCTCAAACTAGTACTGGCAATGCACAATTAAGTACCGGCAATGCTAAAATTAGTCCCGGCTCGGAGGACCTGATTTTACCGCCCGCGTGCAACTCCAAAGTTTCTACCTTTGAGCTTTTCGTGAAAGCGTTCGAGCTTCCCCCCCCTCTAAGCTCATTTCTCACTAGCAATGCTTCATGGACATCTGAGACATCACCATCTGCTTTTATTATTCACTTCTTCTTCCTTGACCCCATGCATCTGCGCGGCTCGATGCCATCAAACGTTTCGACGCCATCAATTGGTGTGTGAAATTGCCTTGTGACCCAGCTTGCTGAAATATTCTGAAATATTCTGTCTGTCAAAACATATTCTATCTGAATGATTCTAAGTGTATGCTATCTGAATTATTCTAAGTGTCACTTGTGAACCTAAATATTCTAACTGATGTTTTGGGATATTTTCGGAGTAAAATATATTCTAAGTGAGGATCGGACGGAGTAAACTATATTCTAAGTGCTGGCCCGATACTATAGTCTCCAAAGATGACGCGCAATGGGTCCCGGTACTTCCGAAGTTCCTTCTAAATGTCCTTTGATGAAGATAGTGGGTACGGCATCCAACAAACTGGCATTTGTCCCCTCCTCCTTTAGTAACTCTTTGTGTTGCGAGCCCTTGCAAGTCGTGCTTGCCCACGTCAAGAAGAATAGTTGGCCACACAAAATGCCAACTCCTGCTACACACGCACTGGCTGGGTGAGATTGGCAAGGGTTAGCTACTAGGTGGGGCTGTTCAACTGGGGGGGTCCTTGATCCCAGACACCTCTGCAACAATGAAACCCACTAATCCGGGCCCCTTGATATTGAAAGGCCCGGAAAATGAACAAATCTAAACAGGCAAAACAAACACATCGTTTATTACGGGGGCCGAGTTCCGGCCCTTTTCAGTCCCTCAACGTCAGTCCCTTTGGCACTGGTAATGAAATCAGTGGCATGTGCCGGCTTTGTGTAAGTTGAGTATTGATTTGGTGTTGGTTTAGCTCTGGTTCTGAAGCGCCTGCTAATTTGGCCAGAATTCAGATCGGAGGGAGAACTCGCTAGAAAAGCATTAGTTTAGTATGAACTTGCGTATTCCCAATTTTTAAGTAATTATTGGGGACCTGTGAATTTGCGGGAAACAGGTCTTAATATTCGGGTGAAACAAGTTGATTTTTAGGGGGAAGGGATTACCATCTGGCACAAGGATTAAGGACTGAGTTTGAACATCCCAGACTGAAGTCAGTCACCGAAGTCTGTGGCTCATGGCATGACCAGGGGTGGCCATTCATTCTGCGTGCAGCTCATCTCCTTAGGAGTTGTCTGCGAGCTCCTACCTCTGAAAAAATGGCACCAGATAAGCCAAACAGAGCATAGGCGAGTGTCAAATGGAGCCTTGGGATATCCCGGGCCTGAAATGAAATAAGGCAACCAACCATTTAGGGTTCCTCTTGGAGAAAAAAAACACATCAGAACTGGAAGGAAGGAACCCCACACTTGCCTGCTCAAAATGGCTTGTCTCCTGCCTGCCCTTGACTTTTTTCTTGAAAAAAAGCCTCAGCTAAGCAAAGTTGCACTACACTTCTC